ATTATTGCATCAGCAATCTTTGGATCAAGACCATAATCCTGGTTTACTTCAGCGGCCGCTCGCTTCAAGATGCCAAAAGCTTTAATAACTGGGATCTAAAATTAATCAGAAAAGTATCCCAAATTTATAATTTAGTTAATCACGAAAGTTTATTATTTAAGGCAGATGTAAAACCTGAGCATAAAATAATAACTTAAGTAATACTATAACCTTAAAATATTTAGGATATAAAGATTATAGACAGATAAATAATGAACCAAGAATCACCATTATCATACATCTATTGGTTTAGGGAACCAAACAAAGGCAAATACGTTGACTCTTCACATACGTGTGTGTGTACCTCTCACATACACATACATACACATGCGCACATATTCAAACATACACAACACACTATTCATCCTATTTATACACACACACACAATTTCATACACTATATATCAAAACAAATGGTACTCAATCATTTCACCAGCAAGAGCCATTATTTTCCCTTACTGGGTCCCATGTTGCATTATAATTTTTTTTTCTTAGGAAAAAAAAAATCAATGATATATTTAACTGCCAATCAGTATGAGATTACCAGTTGCTGAATGGGTTATCATTTCACCCCAAAGCCAAAAAGCAATATATTCTAGTTAAGTTAGTGAAGCCTTGACACCTCCAGTGATAAATCACTGGGAATTTCTCTCAGAAGAATTTTTTTTTTAAATCCAGGGTTCTCCAGACTTAAAGTTTTGATAGCTTCTGACATATGTAACCATATTTTCAGACCCTGTTAATCTGCAGATCTTTTCATCGTCTATCTCAAATCACCTCACCAAACTTTAAAAAGATAAATGGAATAACTTTTGATGAGATTTCACAAAACGATAACCTAGTTTTTGTAAGACAAGTGACTTATGAGTTCTTGTTAAAATTAATAATACAGACTGTGGTATAGATCCCATACCAGGTTTGAATGGGGACAGAGCGAAAGGGAGAAGGGGAGGTGAGGAAGAGTGTGATGAATTTATAAAAGAGAAGCTGTAGTCCTCAGAGGGGAATCAAAGTAGAAAAAGCAAAGTCTAGTAATGAATAAGACACACTTAACACATAAACCTGGACCAGAGTAAGTATTAGCTGAAGGGCAAACAGAAAAGAAAAAAAATGAAAATTTTCATTTTGAATTTGAAGTAATTAAAATTAAAACATTATAAATGTTTTATTCAAATGAATTAGAGACAAATGGAACACAGGATTAGAAACTTCAAAGCTTTAAACGTGAAAACAAATGGGGATTTAAATTTCAGTAGGAACAAACACTGCATTGTGGGCTGAATCGTAACTGAATGTCAATCAACACTGGCCATCTGAATGGAGTGACTGACCCCAATATTTATCGGCCCATAAAAATGAAAAAGGGTCATAGCAGAAAAGAGTTTTACTGAACACCATTAAAATAAAATGGCAAAATGTATCACTGGGGAGAAAAGACAGGTTACATTATTCTTAATGTACTCACATTAGAAGTTCATAATCTTTTTTCGTTTTGTTTTCCTTTGGACTTCAGGTAAAAAGGGTTGAGTTCAATCATGCTACTCAGTTCAGAGTACATGTAGTCTGTTTTATATTTAATAAAGTTCAGGAAATTAATCCGGATGAAGTCAAATGTGACAAAATCGAGAGTCCCAGTGTCTGCCTTTCACAGACATACAATCCAAATGGCTGCCCTGTCTCTGGAGCAGCAGCAGCAACCACACCCCCCTAGAACCACACAACCTGCTGGGTAGAGCTGGACAATCAAAACACGAGCCATGCTCACTCCCACCAATATTGGCTAGAGCTGACCTCCTTAATCCCCAGAGCTGAATTATACAAGAGTGTTTTAGGATTGGTCACTACCCTTTGTCACCCAACCATGGAGTCAGACCCTGTTTACCTTGCTACCTACCAAGCAGGCTGTAGGGGGCAATGACAAAGAGATTTTCCTCAAGGATTCAGCTGCCTGTTGTGAAGTTCTATAATCCTATAAAGAGTCAGTCTTGAAGGTTTAAGAATGAGTTAAAATATGGCAGTTAAATTATACAAAATAAAGGTATATTTAGAAGATAACTGTTAAAGAATATCTCACTGGATGAAGCCTTACTAAAGCCTATCCTGCACTCCTGCACTGACTATTTTTCATACTCCAGTTGGGCTCCATAGAATATGTTATGTAGCTCATCAATTTTTTTCACACTTTAACATCTCTGAAATCAAGATGCACCTTACAATCAATGACAGGTCACAACCTTGATTGCTAGTCTTTTTCTTTCTTACTGGTGCATATCAGTGTATCTTCTAACTGATGGCACCTTACATTTAATGAAATGTGGTAGAAAGTTTTCTAACCATTAAATCATTCATGTGACATTGAACAAATACTTATATATTATCTATTACAGGCTATTATATGTCAAACATGGTGAAGAGTAATACTTTGATGTCTTTGTGTACTATACACTTTTCTGAAAACTGAAACCAAGATAGTAAGTGTAATATCAAAAAAAAAAAATTGGAGTTTTAAATCAGAGGGAAAGAAAAGAATTTGAGTATTGAAATAAAAATGTTAAAATCCTAATAAAAATGTGTAAATACCCAGCAAGAATAAAAAGCCTTTAGTTCTATCAAATAAAAATCCAAAATATTCAAAGCCATAGCTCAAAATAATAGCATGCTAAAACTTCAAAAAGTTCTTTGACATTTTAATGAAACAGAACATCTTATTACTCACAAAGCTAGTTCTCTAATAACTTTACATTTTAACTCCTTGAAATATTTATTTATAAAGTAAAGTGACTAATGTGAATATAGCCTGGTTCATCCAAAATAAGCTAACATTTCCGCAAAAGCCACTTACTGGCATGCGTTCCGTCACACCTCCAATCTTAAAGTTCATTGTAGATCTCACAGTCTGGGCGCCATAATACTTATCATTTGGGACCTTGAGTTCACCAAAGGTATCATATTCTATCCGGAAAGAATTTTGACTTGCCTAAAAACAAAGATAAGGCACTGTTACAGCTTGAAAAGAAACCAAGTATCAGCATCTTATCAGTTGTAAAGGGAAAAAAATCTTACTAATCACAAAGACACAAAATTCCATTTTGATTCTCATTCTACTCCCTGCCTTCAGTTCTTTCCTTCAGAAATTTTTGTTTTGACTTGATAGTCACCCTCTATTTTAGAACCAGATAGGCTTTTTCAGGAAGAAACTGAAAACCCAAAGCACAATGAAATCAAATGTTGAATTTTTATCTCTTGTGATAGTCTTTTTACAGAAAAAATGATTTGGATTTTCTTGAATACTGAAATACTCTTAAGCCACTTCAGACTGAGAATGTGAAAAGCATTTTATTTTTTCTTTAGGAAATGCCATGGTTTAGTTTAATGGGGACATCTTATAGACCCAAGGACTGTATTTTTTTTTTTTGAGCCTATTATTTTTTGGCTGACCTTCCTGGTTTAGACTAGCATGCAAATTTTGGGACCACACAAATTTATTAATGCAGATGTTAAAGACAGATTGTAGAATTCATATACTAGGCAGATAATAAATATAAAGAAAGTCTTTGAAATACAAATAGTGATCTTCCATTTTAGAAGCGTGCCTATTACTGGTCAAGATTTGGTCAATTCAATGTACTTAGATTAATGTTTATTGTGAACTTTTGAAAGCAGTCTGATACTTTGAAATTTGTAAATATAGATTTAAACAAGCTTAGCTACAGTCTATAAACACTATGCATGAGAGATAGCATAGTACAACACAAAGAACCCAGGCTTTGCAGCCAGACAACCCACCACTTAGTAGCCATGTCACCTTCAGCAAATCAGTTTTTCTCATCTATAAATTAAACGTACAGATACGGGGAGATGAGCTAGGTTAGTTCTTAACCTTTCCAAAGTGATGGAACCCTCTGAGAATCTAAGGAAAGCTATGGATCCTCTTTCTAGAAACATGAACATAAACACATTTATGTAAAATTTTTCAAATAATTTAGGGAGTTCCCATCTTGAAGCAAAACCACCACCCGGAGTAAGAACTCACAGACCCAAACTCCCTTTTAGGGAGAAGCTAGGATTCTACCAAGTACATCAACTTATACTAATAAAAACTAGTAACTGTTCAAAATATTTATAATATTGGGAAAAAAACTTACTGTAAAACACTAGAAATTTGGAATTTATACGTGATAGTTTATATTCAGTAGACTGCAGAGAGATATTCAGAACTTTAATATGTTCATCTTCCATTAGGTATGAAATAAAGATGATTGGATGATTCAAAATTTAAAAATCTGTAGCCAAGTAATTTCATTTCAGTAAATAGTCCAATAAAAAGAAAAATTTAATTTATAGTTATCCCCTGGGACCAGAGTTACAAAACACTTTAAGTGGCACGAAAAGAAAAATATCATCGTATATAGGTAGAAATACAGAAGTCTACCCAATGAAGTACATTTTTTCTATGTGTAAAGGTAGGTAGAGGACTGGCCTAGACCAATAAGCAGCAGCAGTTAATAATAAAAATAATCATACCCTGGCATTTATAGCGCCATATAGCAAATGCTCATGTATTGCCTTATTTGACTTTCACAATCAACCTAAGAGATTTTACTATTACTATTCCCACCTTAAAAGAGACATCCAGGCTTGGAAAGATTAAATAACCTCAGCAAATCACCCAGATAGCAAGGGGGAAGGCCTAGGCTCAAACCCTGGTGTGTTAGATTCCAAAAGCTGTTTAGATTCACTTTTCTATCACCACCTCCATAAGCAAGAAACTGAGGGGGTAACTCCAGGTCAGCGCACAACAAGTCCTTGAGTTGTACCCCTATTCTGTAAAATAAAAGGCGCTGAACATGTGCAGTTAGATTTTTCTCTAATGGAACTTGGTTATACTGACACCATTACTGTACACCAATTTGCTTCCTACCATGTAAACCAAAAACAGCTAGGGTTTTATATCCTAAGTGCACAAATAAAAATATTTTCCATTGTAATCTTTGTTTTGGATACCCTAAGTAAATATCCTGGTATGTTCAAACATACTTTGGACCAATAACATTAGCAATGGACAGCAGTGGCACCAAGGATACTAGGTTCTTCTTTCTCTTCATCACCTTGTTGATGCTGGCTCCAAAAAAGAGAGATTGGTTTCTGACATTTACAATCACTTCTCCTCCTGGGGAATAATGGGTGGGTAATGAGTCTAGTGTTCATCTCAGTAAGAATGCTATTAAGTCCTAGAAATACCAAGTACTGTTAAAAGCCCCAGAACCTCAGACATTGATAAGGTGGTCCCAAAATTTGCATGCTAGTCTAAACCAGGAAGGTCAGCCAAAAAATACAGGCTACCAAAAAAAATACAGTCCTTGGGCCTATAAGATGTCCCCATTAAACTAAACCATGGCATTTCCTAAAGAAAAAATAAAATGCTTTCAGATTTTCAGTCTAACATGGCTTAAGAGTATTTCAATGTTCAAGAAAATCCAAATCATTTTTTCTGCAAAGAGACTATCACAAGAGATAAAAATTCAACATTTGATTTCATTGTGCTTTGGGTTTTCAGTTTCTTCCTGAAAAAGCCTGTCTGGTTCTAAAACAGAGGGTGACTACCAAGTCTCAAAATAGGCATTTGCATATACATAATAATAGTTTATTGATTTTACATTGCAATATGGAATAAAATATTATCTATCTTTCCAGACTTTATGGCCTGGAATTAAAAGATCACATTATAATTATTCATGTGTGATTTCTTTGCTTATTTAACTGCTTTGCTTATTTAATCTCTCCCAGTAGTCTCTAAATTCTAGCCGATAGGGACTTGTCTTATTTACAGGACTCAGTACATGGAAGGCATTCAATAAATATTCTTTCTAGTGAATGAACTTTTATGTGTTCTTTTAAATTAAAGGTAACTTAGGGTATCTAGGGTTTTGTAAATTTCTTAACCCTAGCAACAGGAAGAACTTTTAACAAAATCAACAGAGATTTTGGAGCTGAGAGAGGTTAGAGCATGACAGATGTGTTTAGAACTATGAAAAAAATATCTACCCTCATCTTATTTTAGCTAATATTACAACCTTAAGAGGAAAGCAGTGCTTTTTGACATTTGCCCTGACAAGATATAATAGATTCAGAAGTTCTCCTGTTCCCCCTCACAAAACTGTACATAAATAAAAAATAAATAAAAAATTTTAAAGGTTCTAAAATGTACTAAAATTACTAGGGCAGGGGGTTCCAGGAATGTAAAGCATCCTGGATTTTGTAGTTTAAGGTATAGTGATTTAATCAATTTGTCTTGAAGTTTACAGTCCAGAAAATGTACTGGCCCTTTGAAATACCCTAGATGGAGCATTTATTTAATGACCACTCGATACACGGTATTTTCACATGTGCAATCTTGCTAAGTAGCTGTAATTATTTCAATTTTACATGTGGGAACTAAGGCACAAAGACAACTTGCCCAAAGTCTCAACTGAGTAGCAAAGTAGGATTTGAGATACCTCTTCAACTGCAAACCTCACGCTACACCACAGTGAAGAGTGCAGAATTATAACTCTCCCTAAACTGTCATTAATTTCTCAAACTTTTTCTAACAATATACATATATACTTAATGCTTTTCAAAGCCTATTGACCAAAGGTGACACTCTTCAGGGCTTAAGTAAGCATGTCATAACTTGAACTTGGATCTTTTAAGTTCCTTAGCTGTCTTTCTGAATAAAAAGTACTGATTCAGCTTTAGTTAGGTCCAATCCAATCTGCTCAAACATGCTTCAGAATACTATGCCTGTGTGTGTGAATTTCAGGGTTTTACAAAAGTTGTGGGGGAAAACCACATTCAGCCTAACAAGCTGAAGGGGCAATTTTATGAGAAGTAAAACCTTTGAAGAACCTTCTATCCCACCTGGAAGGCTGAAAGCAGTGCACTGCACCTTGGTTAACCAAGAAGCCACGGTTCAGAGGCGACTAGATAAGCACCCGGCCGGTGTGCCGCTAGCAAGGCCCAGCTAAGGGGCAGGGGCGGGAGCTGCCCCTCTCTCACCCTTCTCCTCCCACCCGGCCTGGCGCCCCAGGGCTGGTGGCCTCCCCAAGGGCAGGAGCGCAGCAGTGAGCATGGCTGAAGCGGTTTAACCCAAAATGCCCCAGCTTCGGCCCAGCTCCGGGGAGCGGCCAGGAGCGGGCCAGGCAGGACCCTCACAGGCTGCGACCGCCCCTCCCCAAACGCCGTACGGGTGCAGAGGATCCATCCCCGCGCTGGAGGAGGCGCCCGGAGCTGGCAGGCCCGCCACGCCGGAGCGGGCGCGGAGCCCAGCGCCGGGCTCGGCAGGTACGCCCGGGAAATCCCTCCCGCCAGTTCGCGGGCGCCCAGGCCGGCAAGCAAGGTCACCGCAGGGAGGCCAGGGGGCAGACGGCCTGCGCTCACCATTCGAGCCGCGTTCGGGGGCCAGGATGGGGGGACGGCTGCGCCACTCAAGCCCGGAACTGAGGTCGAGGCTGGAGCCCGCACGAGGCGACGCGAGCGCGCGAGGAGCCGGAGTGCTGGGTACATGGTGCTGAGGAAGCCTGGGTAGATTT